ATTTGCATTTGGCTTAGTTTGGTTCTTCTCATATGAGTGCTGTTAATCAATCGTGGGGTCCATTGATTTGACTACTGTGATGTTTCAAGTCATTGCTCTCTCCACCCTTATTTGGAATCACCAAAACAAATTCTCTTTTCTCTGCCACTAATTACTAGTTAACACACAAACGAAAAAATTGTGGCAGATGGGTGTAATCGATTACACCCAATTACTTAATCTATTACACTAAATTCTCATCAATTAATCAATTACTTAGCTCATGTAATCTTTTATTATTAATCAGGACACAATGGTCAAAAAGCCTGCCTTTTTTCGCTTATTTGTTTCTAAACGACATTCGTTAATATCTCTTTGGCTATATTTCTTTAAGTGACCTTTAATTTGTTTTTTTGTGTGTGTGAGGGACCTGTAATTAGGGATGTGCAAAATAACCAAACAATTAAACGGAACCATGAATCAAACCAAATTGCACTTAAAATAACCGCTTTTTAAAAATCAGTTTATGAACCAAACCAGTTTTTACAGAACCTGTTCATGAACCGAACTGGTTTTTAAAACCAGTTCAAGAACCGAACTGAGTCGAACCATTTTCAAATCAAACCGAACCACTTTCGAACCGAATCAAACTGCTTTTTATTACTTTATTTTTTTTCTTTTCAGAAGAAGGTCGATCTGAACCGAACCGAACCGAATTGGTTTTGAACAAAATCGAACTGTTTTCGAACCAAACCGTTTAAACCTATTCGCTTCGATTTTTTTAAAAAATCCAGTTCAATTCGACCCATGCACACCCTTACCTGTACTTTGTTGGTTGCATATTATTAACCGAAGAGGAGTTTTGATTTGCTTCCTCAACCATAAAAACTGTCAAACTTTCTCATTTTTGTTCAAAGTTCCAGCATTATTTGCTATATGATATGATATTATTAGGTTTTATGTTTAGAAATAAATGCATAAATGTAGTATATTTAAAATGAATATATTAGACCAAGCACATTGTTAGTTAATAGAACAATTTATAATTACTTTATAATAACTCAACATTAGCTTAATATATCGAACTTTAGTACACTAAATTATGCAAATATTTTTCTATTATTCATTTTTTTTATAAACCACAATCCTATTCGAGTCTGGAACATCCACATTATGGTGATGACATCTCTCCCAAATATAATTTTTTGCATTTATAAGGATTTGAACCAAAATCTTACTTAAGCGGAATTAAATATATACCACTTGAACCAATTCCTTTAGTAGTATTTTTCCATTATTCTAAAACTTTGAAATTTGGGGAAGATTATATTTACAAACTTTTTGTTTACAAACTCTTACCAACAAAACTAAGGGGGTGTATTGGATTAGGATTTTAAAAGATTTTTTTGAGCTAAAAAATCTTATAGATTATAAAAGACTATTTAGAATTGGAGAGACTTTAAAGACTTTTTTAAAAGATTTTTTTTACAATCAAGATTTCATAAGATTGGATTTTAATAGAATTTATAAGATTTGAAAGGACAATATGGATTTATAAGATTTTAAAAAATCATATGAATTTTTAACAAACACTCAAAATTACAAAAGTCAATAAAAAAGGGAAAGGTTATACTTACAACCTATTTTTGTTTACAATATTGTACAATCATATCTTATCCGTTGATTTTCGTCAATTAACCGTTATAATTCATTGTAAATTAAATATTAATTAATGAGTTTGATTTACGAAAATAATAATCGTTGATTGACGGAAATCAACGGTTAAGATATGATTGTAAAATATTATAAACAAAAATAGGTTGTAAGTATAATCTTTCCCATAGAAAAATAACAAAGAAATGCAATGCAATTAATAAAAAAAAGTAAAACCTAATATAATTTTTTCAATCAGTAAATCATAATATAATTTCTAACAAACATCCAAAATTATTAAACAACATCTTTTCACATATCTAATGGGTTGAAAATTATCTTCTTCATTTGGTATCAAAGTTCATGATAAAATTTCGTTTGAAATTTTTAGCAATTGATCTTGAAAATCTTGGGGTTTTTTTTTTACGTGATAAGAGTTTTCTAACCATATATCATATGCATATTTTCATTGAATATTCTAAGAAAATTTTGAATATGAAATTTTGGGTTTAATTACATGAAAGTTTAGAAAATTTCTCAATTTTTTTTCAATTGATACATTGAAACCTTAAATTGCTTTAGGACTTTTGAGAAACAAGCTTTTAGTTATCTATTGACACAAAAATTATTTGAAATCGTTTCCTATAGTGAAAGAATTTCGTTCATGAATGTATTGTTACGAAATATAGGGTTCATATTATGAAAGTTTGAATCTTTCTTTAAATTGATATTGTTTCATTGATGTAAAACAAAAATTGGTTTGAGGGATTTAGTTCCCCTGTTATTTCTTCACTGTTTTATGTTATTTTTAATACAAAAATTACACGTTTTTGTGCCAAGAAAAACCGCGTCCCATAGCTTGAAAAATCATTTTTTAAACTTTCAAAATTTCTCAAAAATGGCTCAAAAATATATTATTTTTGAGATAGATTATATTAAAATCTCGTTGGTTTGTTGTTTCTGAGTTGTTTTGTAATGAAAATCGTTCAAAAACTTTTTTTTTTTTTAGTTTTGACGAAGCTCCCACGGCGGAACCCAATTTCGAGCAGTCAACCTGCCAGAAGGAAGAAGAAAATACTGTAATAGAAGAATCTCAAGAAATCCTAGGGGTTAGGGTGAGATTGTGAAAAAGGCATCATATTTATATTTTTCACTAAAAAGTCTTACGAAATTCACACTAATAAAATATCAATTAAAATCGTCGAATTTTTGAATACCACGAGATTGTGATTCCGTTGTTTAAAATCCTGATTGAATACCAACGGATTTAGACGGATTTTAAAACAATCCTTTAAAATCCTAATCGAATACCACATGACTTTTTTTCAATCCATTGAAATCCTAATCGAATATCAACAGATATTTGTCCAAAAACAATCCATTAAAATCCTTTGAAATCTCAATCTAATATACCCCCTAAGTATCATTGGTCATACTTCAATTAAAAGTGTATAACTGATCATATTTTAATTAAAAATATATAACTGGACATACTTAATGTGTAATTTGTAAAAAAAAAAAATTTGAAACGAATTCTATTCCTTTAACTTTATATCAGTTATTTAACCCTTACAAGTCAGTAGCCTTTTCATCTCTTTTTTTGTGAACATGCCTTTTCCTTTTTTGACTCTTCGAAATTCGAGGTAAAAGTTTGTATGGCTGGCATTAATTTATCCAAATGTTTCTTAACATTATTCAAAATCCACTCACTTTGGGACTTAGAATTCAAAATTGTCAGGGTAAACAGGCTCAATCAAAATTTATTATAACATGATTATCTTTCAGGGAAGCATGGCTATGGAATATAGTAGAATAATGTACACGGCAAAAAAGTAAAACACATCTTTTATAGAACAAATTAAGTTGTTATTTTAAGCAAGATATTAATTTTGTAACTATATTTTCAAAAATAAATGTTTGTCAGTACACACAGAGTAAATTTAGAAAGAACTTTTGTTAGGAAATAATTTATTTGAAAATAAAATTCTTTGTTTGAAATGCTTAAAAGTAGGAATTGATTTGATTTTAAGTTTCTTTAATTTATGTGTATATTAAAATTATCTATTTATATTTAGTTCGATATGACTGAATTTAATTTGATTTTAGTTTTTAATTGATTGAATTAACAATTTCATTTTTATTATTTATTATACCTATTTTAATTAAGGTTAAGAACGTAAAATTATTAAAACAAAATAAATTTAATTCATTTGAAGATGTTACAAACGCGGAAATTGATATGCAAATCAATCTGATATTCTGATATATTTTTCTACGAAAAATATTTGTCATTATATAATTTTATGTTATTTTGAGGAAAATTATCATATTTTTGATATATATTTAATTATTTTTTATATTTTTTCATCCTCCATAAAATTAGAAAAAAAGATGAAAATATTATAAAGGAGAAAAAAAATAAAAAATTATTAAAGGGTTTGGTGTTTGTCATTTTAAATGACATAAGTTATGTCATTTTAGGAGAGAGATAGACACGGAAAAACGAAAATCATGGGAGTGAGAAAGTGAGTGGTTTTTTTTAATTTAAAATTCAAATTTTCTGTGTCTGTATCTCTCTTCAAATGACATAAATTTCTATCATTTAAAATGACAAACACTTTTCCATTATTAAAATACAATAAATTTATTTAAAATGACATAAATTTATATTTTTTTAAATGACAAATATTTTTTTTCATTTTTTACAATGAATTTTTGACGTGACAATTAACCAATGTTTTTTTTTTCATCTTTTTACTCCAGTATCCTCAAATGTCGTGATTTGTTGATTAATTTATAATTCAAATCAAATCACATAGATTCCAATATGTATGATTCAAAATATAGCCTAAAAAGTCAAAGAATCAAGAAATTTAACCATAATGTCCATACTATGAGTCTATGAGCTGGTTTGTACCCAGCTTTGCTTGCATCCATGTCAAAGGAATCCGAGAGTGGAGAAAAAGAAAAAAAAGTAGACAATAAAGCAAATTTAAAGTTTGCACAGTGTGGACAAAAGAAGCTTTTCTCCACTTTTCCCACCTCCTAGCTACTACCAATCTCATTCTATATGTTTCTTTTTTTTAAAAAAAGAAACTTTATACATAATTTTATAACGAGAAAAACAACTCTTGTGAATTTTTAATCTTATATCATTAATACAATAAATGTGTGATTCACCTATTAAAAAAAAATAGAAAAGAGTGTCACACCTTTTTATGATATCTGATATCTACAGGAAGGATTTGTTTTTTTCTTATATACGCCTTATATAATATATATACTCCCACCACTACATCTTTTCCCCCACTGTTTCTGTCTTAGAACTTGGTAAGAAGCAAACCAGAACAGAAACAAAAAACACTGAATTTCTCACACAAAATGGCTAAAGTAGCAGGAATTTTTATGTGTCTTCTAATTGTAATCATGGATGTGGGAGCTGGGATTCTTGGCTTCGAGGCTGAAATAGCACAAAACAAGGTATGCTTAAAGTTGACTCTTTTTTTTCACTTTTAAGAAATTTGTACAAGGACAACTTGAATGCAGTGAAATCTATGTTAAACTTGAATAGTTGTTTTTAACAAACAGGTTAAGCACTTAAGGTTGTGGATATTTGAGTGTAGAGAGCCAAGTCATCAGGCTTTTATGCTGGGGTTGGGTGCAGCAGTACTTTTGGGACTAGCTCATGCTGTAGCCAATTTGCTTGGTGGCTGCAATTGCATTTGTTCTCAACAAGAGTTTGATAAGGCTTCACCCAATAGGCAAATGACAGTGGTTTGCTTTATTTTAACTTGGTAATGTATCTCTGGCTCTGCTACTTGTTTGCAAAAACCAAAAGAAAACCACCATGGATTGTTCACTAAATCTATAGTGTTCTTTTCTTTGTTTTCTTCTTCTTCTTTTGATTGTGTTGTTTGATTAGGGTGGTTTTGGCTGGAGGATTGTCCACGCTGGTGATAGGGACTATGTCAAACAACAGGTCAGATGGTTCCTGTGGTTTCTCACACCATCACTTCCTTTCCATTGGTGGGATTTTGTGTTTTCTTCATGGCTTATTCAGTGTTGCATATTACGTTTCTGCCACTGCCTCCATTGATTAGTGAGTGAGAGTTAACATCTGGAAGTCACTCATTCCTGCTTTAGTACTTTTGGAGTTTGGCTTTTGTAAATGTTGATTTACAAATTGTGTCCATGAATGACTTTCTTGCTTATTGTACTGAAAAAGGAAACATGCAACCATATTGAGAAGACTAAACTACCCTCGTCAAGTTGTTTTTTATTTACTCCATAGCCATTGAATTTGCTGTCACACTGCCCTGGGGAAAAAAATTGGTAAATGTGGAGCTGAAATTAGCTGATAGATCTTTCTTCTTCTTTGAACAGAGCAATAGAGATCTTCTTAATTTTATTATCAAACTTATTTTCTTTTATTTATATTTCATTCTTCATCTTCACTAACTTATAATACCAATCTAACAACTAAAAATATTGTTTTAGCTGGCATTTTATTTTAGGGAACAATCTGTTTTCTCTTTTTCTTTTCTTTGATTGCAATACTAAATTTAGGAGATGCCACTCTTGTGTATAATCCTCACAATGGAAAAAATAAATCTCTTCCTCTAAATAAAGTAAAAATTTCCATTTGAAAGATACCTAAACATGGCTTAGAATATTTTTGGTACCACCATGAGGTCTTTTCAAAAAAATTTAGGTACGGGAATAATCCTTGCTCAAACATTGACTAGGCCATGACTACACGGTGCTTCGAAGTGCAGGTAAAGTATAAGAAATATAAAATGCCAATTGAACGCCTAAATTAGACATGACTCGTCTGGTGTTGACACATGACACAAAAAATTAATAGTTTAATCGTAAAATTTTATAAGGCCATAACTTTTGACTCGGGTATCCGATTGAGGTAATTCTTTTTTTGATTCCACATAACTTTTCGTAATCTACGCAATGACATCTCATTTGATATATTTTATCTCTCACAAACACAATTCAAATTTGCAACAATGATACTATAAAGATGTCACCAAAGTGAATTAACTCATCTATAAATAAGATGGCACCAAATTTCCTATTAAATACAAAACGCAATCAGCTCCTATTAAATACAAAACGCAATCAACTCCTATATCTTTAAATTCAAAATTCAAATAACCTCCAGCAAATTTATTTGAATTGGCGACAATCTGTAACCAACTCATAAAATTACAACGCAATCAGCTCCTATTAAATACAAAACACCATCAACTCCTATTAAATACAAAATGCAATCAACTTATTGGATGTTATTTGAATTTTAAATTTTAAATTTAATGTTATAGTACCAAGTGTTTGAAAAAATAGTGTACAAGGTTATTTATTTAATTATTAAAATATATAAAAATTTATATAATATTCTAACAAGTGTTTAGAATATTTATTTAATTATTTTCTTTATTGATACAGATTTTCCATATTGATTTTTGAGTTTAAATCACAAATTAAATCTTTATTTTATTTTTCTTATTAATAATAATTTTTTAAATGTTTTTGGTAATACACTATATAATACAATTATTGCAAATTTGAATTGTGTTTCTGAGAGATAAAATATATAAAATGAGATGTCATTGCGTAGATCTTGAAAAGTTACATGGAATCAAAAAAAGAATTACCTCATTCGGATACTCGAATCAAAAGTTATGGCTTTTCAAAGTTTTACAGTTCGTAAGTTGACTTTTTTTACCACGTGTCAACACCAGATGATTCACGCCTAAATTAGGCGTGAATGCCTTGGGAGTCACGCCTAATTTGAGCGTGAATGAGTGCAATAAATCTGCAGATAATTTCGAAACAGCTATGTATTCGTAATTATTTATTAAAATAGTAATATTTTAATTTTTTTGCGGAAATCAATTTGATAAACAGCTATCGACCCGAATGCCTTCTTTCTAAGTACATTGTTTATAAACTACATTCATTAATTAATATCAATTTGGCTATTCTTTTGAATGACCTGTAATTTGTGGCTTGTATATTATAAACCGAAGTGTGAACCTCGATGAGCTTCCTCAACCATAGAAATCTCATTTCTATTCAAAGTTCCAACATTAACCCAATACGAACAACATCAATCAAATCAGTGGAAAAAAAACAAGAAATTCATATCTGTTACTCCCCATTTGATATGCGTCTAGCATATGATGCTTTCTAAGTTAAAAGAAGCAAGGAATTAATCATAAATGTGTGAAAATAAGTCATAAATGCAAGAAATATTGATTATTCCTTCTCAATCATTCTCTCACTCAATTTATGCATTTTAATAGCAAGAAACACCAAAAATGAAGTGAAGAAGAGAAGCTGAAGTTGCTGAATCCCGCGCAAAATGCGCGGAGCATGGAGCAAACCGCGCCATTTGGACCAACACTTTTTGTTTCTTGGCGCAATTTGCGCGGTGAGTGGCGCAAATCGCGCCATTTGGCAATTTACTCCATGTTTCTCCGCGCAAATTGCGCGGAGCATGGCGCAAATCGCGCCATTTCAAAGTTTCAGCTCTGTTTCTCTGCGCGATTTGCATGGCAGCTGGTGCAAATTGCGTGGGCGATATTTTTAATCTAATGCGAATTACACAAAAAAGGGCCCAATTGGAGGGCAATTGTAAGTAGGTTTTCCCAAAACCTAATAAAAGGATCAGAAACAGAGGGAGATGAACTTTTTAACAATAAGGAAAAGAAAGACAACAAAGAGAGTGATTGGGAGCTTCTTAGAGTTTCAGAGATTCGAACGATGAAGACGGAAGATCTTCATCTTCTTTCTCTTCTCTAGGTTCTGAATTTATTTTCTTTTTATATTGATTTTGTCAGACATGAATATGTCTGGCTAGTTTTTATTATAGTGGTAAGGGTCACAACTCTTGATGTGAACCCCTTGTAGTTTGGTTGATTTTATGTTTATTTATTTATATTGAATTTATCTTGCTTTATTCTTCATCTTATAGTTCTTCTAGAACCGATCAATCTAGTAGAATTGCGAGGGTTAGGATTTTTAATATGGATATTGGGATTCTAATACCTGACAAAAGGTAAGATAACTATTCATGTACGCTCTAGGGATAGGCTACATGAATAGCAAACGTCAAAGATTCATTGATTCTAAGGTTTAACTTGAAAATAGATTTCTAAGGGATTAGGATTCTAATAGAGTTAATAAGGTTAAAGTCACTAAGAAATTATGGTTTAACTAATCATATAAAAGATGATGAATCGTTTGATCAATTGAATAAGTAAACGTAAATGTAACCCAAGTTGCAAGGTGGGGATCATAAAGGTGTTTGTCGTCTCTTTACCGCAATATTTTTTTAATTATTTTCTCAACCTTTATTCCGCTGTTCTTGATTTTTAAAAGAACCTTTGAATTATTTACATTTTTCAGAATTGTTCTCATTATTTCACAAATCACAATTGTCCTTAAACCATTTGTATTAATCCAACAAGAGAGGAATAGTTATAATAAATTCAGTGCCTCAATCTTCGTGGAGACGATACTCTACTTACCCTTTTATTACTTGGAACGATCGGTACACTTGCCGATTACGCAACAAGTTTTTGACGCTGTTGCCGGGGATTGAATACGCCAAGTTTATTAATAACTTTTGATTTTCTTGATTGGATTTTGTGTTACTAATCGATTTGCTTTAGTTTATGCGTGGTACAGTAGTTGATCCTGAAACTTTGATCTACGATCCAGAGATAGAAAGAACTGCAAGAAGGATAAGACAACTTACCAAGCAGAAGAAGAAAGCAGAAATTTCTACTTCACCTTTTGAGGTAGAATCAGAGATGGCAGAAGCCAATCCACCACTGGAAGAAGAGTTGATGGAGTCAATCTTGGCTTAATTGTTTACAAGGCCAAATTCCAGCATTTTCAGGCCACCAATTGATGCCAACAACTATGACATCCATCCATCACTGATCACATTGGTGGAGAAAACTCAGTTTGGTGGGGAACACTATGAAGATCCTCATGACTTCATGGACAGATTTTTGAGAATCTGTGATGCAACCAAGCACCATGGAGTATCAGATGATGCAATAAGACTCCGGTTGTTCCCATTTGCTGTGACCGGGAAAACTCTCAGATGGTTGGATCGGTAAGCTCCCAACAACATCAGAACATGGGATGAGTTGGCAGCTAAATTCTTTGCTGAGCATTTTTCTATGGAAAAGTACAACAAGTTAGTAAATGAAATTACCAACTTCATTCAACAACCGAGAGAGAATCTTTGTGCAGCCTGGACCAGATTTCAAGAACTGATCCGGAAGTTCCCTCAATATGACTTGCCAGACACAAAGAAGGTCAAAGTCTTCTATAATGGAATGACACCTGATTCCAAAATGGTTGTCAACGGTGCAGCTGGTGGAACTATAGGAAAGAAGACAACAGCTCAAACCTTAGAGCTGATTGACTTTATGGAAAGGAATGAGAATGCATCTATGGCAGTTCAACCTGTTCAGCCAAAGAAAGGACTCTTACAACAGGGGAACAATGATGCATCACTAGCTGAGCAAAAGGTGATCTCTCAACAGCTAGCCAGTATGAATGCCAAATTAGATCAGATGCAAATCTCTACAGCTCAAGTTAATTCAGTTAACTGTGAGTACTGCAAAGGGGAGCATGAGACTAATGAGTGCCCAACACTCATGGGAGCTGAACCATTTCAAGTCAACGGAGTTTGGTATGATCCAAGGCCACTACAGAATACTCAAAATTTTCAGAGGAATCAGAATGGTGCTCAAGGAAGCAACTTTCAAAGGAGAAGTCAAGGTGGAGGGTTGGATTATAAATCCAACAATTATCTGCAACCTCTTTCTCTTCCACATAAGGAGCCATCTGAACTAGAAAAAGCAATGTTGCAACTTTTCAAGACGACAAATGATCATATCCAGACTACTGATGCTTTTATGAATGAAACAATAGCCTACCATAAGAATCAAGATGCCATTATACAGAAGAAGTTTCCACCAAAGCTTTGAGATCCTAGGAGTTTCAACATCCCAATTGCGATAGCAACACTAATGTTGGTCGGGCACTCTGTGATCTTGGAGCAAGC